CCAGCCCAAAAGCTGTTGGCTCCCACACCTGCCAGCAGCATGCCAGTGCTCAGAGGACCAACAAAGACTCACCCAAAATGAACCCTTTTCTTCCATCCTCTGTTAGTGAGGGGAGGGGAGCGAAACCCTCGAACAACCAAGCAGTAGGAAACCAGAACCCCTGCCAGACAGCAGATAAATAGTACTGCTCTTCTTTTAATCCAGGCAGCCTTTAGTAATCCAACAGCCCCAACCTCTCCGAATGGAGACCGCCAACGAAAATAGTGTGCAAGCCCATTCAGAGCCTCCGAGAGGGGCTAGGCTTGGACCCAGGAGGAACAAAGTGCCATTCAGTGGGCCCATTTCAGTGCAAGCGGCTCACAAAGTCAAACGCAGAACAGATTGCCAAAGCACACAGAGTTCAGGAAGGGGAACTGGATTCATAGGGGCTAATGGGCCATTAATTTCCCAATCAATTATCTAAAAAGCCTCAGAGGGACACAAAGGAGTCATCAGACAGAGGACAGCAGGCAAGCTAGAAGCCACTGACATGGAAAACTCTTATCAGCTTCTTGAATCAGGGAGGCCTTGAGGGCTCCAGCTAGGGCTAGAGCTGGAAGTCAGCCGGACTCCCCTGAGTTCAGCTGGGCAGGGCCCAGGTGGTGTAAGTGGGTGTAGCTGCTTCACAGCAGCTGGGGATCTGGCCTAAAGCATTTTAATGCAGGTCTCTCAGTTAATTGCCTGCACAGATGATGAGAATAACACAGTGCTTTGATGTCCGATTTCTGCGGAGATCCATCATGCATGCAGGTGGCTGGGGGGGGGAAACAGGCAGCGCCAGAGAAGAGGCGCCTGTCTAACCTCTTTCCTAGTTCAGTGCGTCCCGTTGTACCCGGCGGAAGGACCCTCTTCTCCTTCGGGACCTGCGACAGGGTGGAACAGAGCCTGGTTAAGCGCCAGAGACTTGGTCATGGAAAGCAGCAGCAATGTCAAGCCTGGTTATACCAAACTAGTCTAGTGGGGAAGAGACTGGCCTGGCACGGGGCAGGCAGGCTCCCTTCCACAGGCTCCCCGTGTGACTTGGGGCGTCTCGCCACTGGGGGGAAACAGGGAGGTTTCACAGGTGCCCAAGGGATTCAGGAGCATCAGTCCTGTTGGTTTCCACCAGGACTCAGTCCCTGAGCTGTTTCAGAAAACCCCAGTCCCCCCTCCTGTTAGAGCCACACTTCCCACCTCGCCGGGATGCTGGGGGGAGAAGGCTTCTGCTAGGTGCTCACGCTCCCTGCTGAGGGAGGACGACTGCCCTCAGGTGGACCTTGCATCTCAAAACCTTCCTGACCCCCTTAATGCCCAGAGGGAGAGTGCTGAAGTGGGAAAAGTTTGAGTGTGGGATTTGGGAGCCCTGCGCTCAGTTCTCCACCTTGGCATGGGGTCCCTATGTGATCTTGGGCTGCTTGGTGCCTCCGCTTCCCCTCTGATAATAGCACCCGACCTCCCACGGGTATTATAAGGCCAAAAACATTAGAGACTGCGAGGTCCATGAAAGTACTCTGCACAGATCAAGCAGCACACGCACAGGCTCGCTCAGGACTCCCGGACAGGAACATACCATGTAGTAATCATAGAGGAGGCTGAGGGCAGCCACGCTGTCGTCGTCCCCGTTAATCCTCATCATCGCCTTGGTGGCTGCGGTCAGGGGGTTCTCCAGGTAGGTTTTCCAGGCCTCGTCTTCGCTGGTGTAGGAGAACTTCTGGAAGTTCGTGCTGTCGTTCTTCATCAGGCACACGGACCTGAAACTGAGGCAGGGGTTAAGGCAAAGCATCAGCACCAGTTCTTCAACCTCGCCTTGCACTTAAAGGCAGCCCGGATGGGAGCTCGAAGGAACCCTGGCTTTCACTGGGGGCTGCTTTCCTTCCCCCTCAGGGCCAGTGAAAATCCCAGCTCTGCCCTTTGTGGGAGTCTCAAGGCCAGATCATACCCTGGCAGGGGCTCCGACAGGAGCCAAGGGGGGTCAGAGGGATCCTCCTGCTCACAAGAGGCTTCCTCAGACCCAGGCAGGCAGAGGCAGAGGCAGAGGAGTGCAGTGGAGCATCCTCACCCTCTCTGCTGGGCAGGACTGGTGCACCCCTCAGCAAGGACATGCACGGGCTGGACATCCCCTCCGGCTGGGACAACACCTCTGCAGGGAGCTGGCCCTGGACCGGTTCATACTCAGTACTCTCAGGGCAAGGAGGAGCACAACTGTGCAAGCGCGCTGCTTTAGAGGATGCACAAGGCTGAGCGGGGGAGTGCTTGGCGCTCGTGGGATTCAGTCCATTGTCCATTCCTCACTCACTTTTAAAACTGTGATTCAGCTCTAACAAGTTCTTTTGACACGATCTACCGATTTCCAGTTTTCACTCGCAAAGTGCCGGGGGTGGGGGTGGTGGGCAGGTCACAATACCATCACTTACACTGAATAATGCTTTACAGAGCAGAAGGCAACGGGACCACTTCTACCTGGTATAAGCATATCACAGCCATGCCCGGTTTGGTCTCTATTCTCAGAATTGCTCCAGCTCTCCAATTCTGCATTAATGGATTCTCGGATGCACGGCCGCCTTGCTGGAAGCCAGGAAGAGCACACGCTAACTACAGATGCTTCCTCCGCCTGACGAAGGGTATTATTTACACCCGAAAGCTTGCAAGGAAGATTTTTTCCAACTATTTGAGTCGATCTAATAAAAGATATCAGATTTAACCAAAGACCCTTGTGTTGCTGGAAGCTAAGCGCTGGTTCCTTTGCTTTTCCTTCAGCAAACCATGCTAGCATGCAGTAGATCAGAGGCAAGAGGGGCTAGCTTTTACAGTGTGTTATAACCCTCTGCTGGGTTATAACCACTCTGAAGGTATGGAATAAGCAGTGGGCACAGCCTGTGGCACCCACTACAGCTGTGCCTACGTGTCTGCTGTCCCCAGGGCAGCATTTTACCTTGGGGAGTGCATCACCACACCTTTGGTCTGCCCACAGTCCACCCCAGCATTATAGAGGAAATGCCCATTTTTCCTTAAATCTGTTGGCAGGAAATCCCCAGATATGTTCCAATTTTTTGAAGTTTTGAGTTGTCAAGAACTGAAATATGTTTGAGCAAGAGAACAATGAGATGAAGAATCCTTGGTTTCAGTGAAACACTCATGGGAAAACAGGGGAGCATGCCATGGATAACCAGCCAGCGTGAGTCACCACGGCATTCAGCACCGTTTCAGTTACTCTTTGAGGACCAATAAAAGTTCCAGCCGAGGATTCCCATCTCAGACGAGTTTCCAGCTTTGTCCCATATTGACCCACTTCTGCTTGGCCAAAAGGCTCTTCTCCCACAAATGCTGGCTTCCTGGGAGCAGCAGGAAAACACAGCCCCAGAAGTGCATCTGATGCAGCCAGACAAACCCTTAGAGAAGAGCCCGTTACCAACAGCCCATTAACAACAGGCACTTTTAGCGTGGTGCGGAGCTGCGGGACGTGGCCCAGGTGAACACTTCCGGGGCTGCTGGTCAGGGGATGCTGCAGCAGGGGAAGCTGGAGCTCCCTGGATGCCTCTGCAGGCAGTAGTTTACTTGACGAGTGCCGATGCATTTTGCTTTGTCCTTTCTGACAGCCCAGCTCTTGGACTCTAGGAGGAACATGAAGGTTTTAAGAGGCTGTGCTGGCTCCGATCTCCCACAGATGTGGCCGTACCTTTTTCATCCACGGTTAAGTATACTGACATTCCCCCTGCAGCGGTGCAGAGTAACGGTGCTCAGCTTCCCTCAGACAAAGCCACCCGGGGGGAGCCGCAGCACCAGAGGCTGCCATCCAGGTACTAGGTATGTCCAGCCCTGCTTGGCTTCCAAGATAAGACCAGACACATTGGTACGATGCAGCCAAAGACAGCTACCAGCCCAGCTCACAGACAAGCTGCCCATAGGTAGATCCCCTTTTGGGCTCATCTGCACAGGTGAGTGGGTGACAGAGGTGCACAAATAGTGAATGACCTCAGTGCCAGTCCTCAAGGCAACTGAGACACCCAACTCCTACTGATGTCCATGCCAAGCAGTAGCAGTCTGCGCTCCAGAGGTGGAGGCCCCAGGTAGCGTCATGAGGACGAGGGGTTATCCATGGCATGCTCCCCTGTTTTCCCAGGGCCCCGACTGCCCAGCACCTTGCTGTACCAGGGATGCTGAGTTCAGGCTTCCTCCCCTCACCCACCGCTCCCTGGCTGCCTGGGCTGATGCACTGACTTTGGTTTCACTCGGCGCATGAAACTGGAAGCAGGTGTTTCGGGAGTTTCGTTGTCTCTGGCGTTTCTCACGCAGCCCTCCCTCCCCTTCAGTGCTGCTCGCATGTCTCCAAGGAGCGCGGCTCGGGATGACTCAGATTTCACAGCTGTCGACTCCGCAATGGGGCTGTTCAGTCCTGTCCGGGCAGGAATCCTCACCCGTTCTCAGTCCAAACTTCGCAAGGAAGAGCTGTCAGCAGCACAGCCTGCATCTGGGGTGAGACCCAGCTCCTATCACTTGTAATCAGAAGAGATAACACCGCGCTGCGATGGAGCAACGCAGGGCAGAAAAGAGACTGTTCATGTCAGAAATGGTTTGGCGCCGGTTCTCCGAACAGGGAAAAAGTTCCCAGCCATATCTTTCTTATGTCACCATTTACTCTGTCCAAAGGGATGGGAGAGTGGGTGTAAAGTACCGCAGAATAGCAGGGTGTTTGTGCCCGAAAGCTTGCAATTAAAGAATTTTTTTTGCAAAAATCTTGTTGGTCGAATAAAAGATACCACCTCTACTACGAGTCCCAACTGCTTTTTCCTCTAGACCGATATGGCTACAACCCGGCTACCTGACAGAATAGCAGTGCATTTCAACACCTGATTTGCCCTCTAAGGTACAAAGCAGAAGGAGGACCAGGTTGGCACCCTTGTCCCCAGATCCAAGCAGCCTGTCCCTGTCTCGGGTTTATGATGCATGAAGGTTTCCAAGGAGTGTTAGGAGCCTCAGTCCCATGTTCAGAAGTGGCTGAGCCGCTGAGACTCTGAGTGTAGCTGAACACCAGCACGGCTTTGGGCAACTGGGCGGGAGGCCAGCAGACTTGCACTGGGTTCATTCCAGTTAAAGAGGGAGTTAAAAGTGACAATTTTGCATCTCCCGTCTCCTCACTCTCATTCGATGGACATCTGCAAGGCACATGCTAACAGGAACGAAGCGCCTCGTTAGCCTATGCGGGCTGCCATGCCAGGGCAGCTGCACAGCTTCCAGTTGTAGGCTAACGCTGCGCTGGGTGGGTCGGGGTTTGCTTCACGTTACGCTGCGTGGACAGAGCCGCGCTTTTCGGATACGAAGCAAAACCTCTGGTGCAAAGACCAAGATCCAATGCCGATTTTTCAAAAAGCCCAGGAGATGACTTTGGCTCTGGGTCTGGGGCCGCTGAGATTTTCCTGCCTCACACCTCTGTTCAGGGAAACAAAGAGGGGTTTTGTAGCTGGCACTTCACTGACAACTCTGTGGTTGAGGCACCAGGAGAACAGGACCTTGTTTGAACTGCGAGGGGTCTGAAGGTTAATGAATGCACGAGGAAGGTGGGCTCAGGAGAGAAGCAGGCACATCATCCAGGGACAGGTGCTCTCCGAGCACGCTGGCCCTTCGGTCTGTGCGGGTGTCACCTGGCTGCCCATTGCAGCTCAGCCTTCTGCCAGCCGTGACTGAGGGGCAAGGGAAGGCGGGAGAGGAGCTCAGTCCCAGCTCCAGACAGGTCTGCGTTCCCCTGGCGTCATGCCTGGTCCCTCCCTGGTGCATTTGTCAAGCCAGCCCGAACCCATCACAAACGGCTGCTTTCCGGTTGGCAAAACAAACTTTCCTTTTCCAAGCAGCCGCCTTTGTGCAGCGGTCAGCTCAGGAGACAAGCACTCGATCCTGCCTCCCTCCACGTGCAGGAGCCGTGAGGCTGAGCCTCCGGGGCTTGTGCGAGCAGCGCACGGCTCGGGGAAGGGCGCAGCCTGTTTGTTTCCAAACAGTGCGGGGTCTGGCCAAGGGTGACCCCCACCCCCAGCGACAGCTCCCTTGCCCCCTTTCTTTGCCAGTCCCACACGATACCGGCCTCTGGGCTCCAATTCCACCCTAAGGGGGAAGCTGAAACAGGAGAGGCTGCCCACTGGGCTCAGACGGAAAGAGCAGGTGACTGGGATGAAACGATTTTCCCTTTTGTTGGGCCACAGGCTGGGTTTCTGCGTGCTTGTCCTCCCCACAGCCTGCCTTTCTTGGCCTCCCAGTGACAGGCCATATACAATCAGCCACGCCAGATGCCGGTGGCTTTACTGCAGCATCACATCATCCAAGGGGCTGACCGCAGCAACCGACAGCAGGTATCCAGAGCCGCTGGCCTCTATGCCACACTATTTGTGCCAGGGCTGCCAGCTGATCCGCTCTGACCCTGTTCACCGACTGCCGCACAACTGGCTTCCAGCTACACTCACCTTGCTCAGAGAGCCCACGCTCCCACGTCCTCCGGTGAGAGCAGGGGCCGAGCAGAGATGGGGAACAGGAAAGCAACGAGAAGCGCACCTGCTTCCCAAGGGAGGGAGATTTCTCCTGCAAAAAAAAGCAGTGCTCCCCCACCCCACCAAGCAGCACAAAACCCCACGATGTGACGCGAGCTCAGAGGCTGGGCCCAGCCTCCGGGCTTCATCCCTGCTTGAGAGGCAGGAAGGAGTAAGTCAAGTGAGAGGCAGGGCGAGAGCAGAGCTGTTTGGCAAGCACGCAGATACGAGCGGATACATAAATA